TACAAATGATACCAAATTTTGCAGACAAGTTCTAAATAGCATAACGGACCTATTCCAAGTCCCAAAACCAAATTCTGAACCCAATAGCCAAAAGTCAACCTACGGTCAAACTTTTAAACCTCAAATTGCCAATTTGTCACCAAAGAAAAAAAGCAAATCAACCTATGGGCCTCCAAATTTGATTCCGGGCATATGCCCTAGTCCAAAATCACGATACGAACCTATTGGAATCATTAAAATACTGTTCTGTGGTTGTTTTCACAAAAGTCAAATATTGGTCAATATTTCTAACTTAGGCTTCTAAGCCAAGAACCAAAGGGTCCAAATCAACCCAAAATCTTCCTGGAATGAAACTAACCAACCCCGCAAGTCATAAAACCATAAATGCACATGTATAAAGCATCAAAAGGGGAAACATGACGCAATTATATAAAATGATCGGTCGGGTCGTTACAACGGTTCCCCTTAAAGCCCCATTTTATTTGGATTCACCCATAATCTAACAGAGGTCAAGTGGCTCTAATGTTTTTTAGGATGAAAATTTACACCAGCATTGTGAAGTAGTTTTGGAACTCTATTGTCGCTAATGTATCATTTGTCGGCATCCTCCTCCACAATTTACATAAAAGAAAGCTTATCTTGGAAGAAATTCTCTTGGACAAAATAAGGTTATGTTATACTAATACTTGGCCGTGAGTGCGCAACACATTCCAAGAGATCAAGTTGATGATACAATTGCTGGGGAAGAATAAGTGTTACAAATGAATGATAAGTTGGTAGCAACAGAAAAAATATCAATCTACATCTTCCTTAATCGATTTGAATCAAGAGCGTACCTCATACACAAGCACAATTGTGATGACCCGGCCGGTCGTCTCGAGCGTTGTAGCCTCGTTTCCCCAATTTTCTGCTTCTATTGTGTTCTACAGCTATTACATGATTTACCGGGTTGGTTGGTTCGGGTCTGGAGTAATGTCGGATTGAATTGAGACACTTAGTCTCTTAATTGGATGCTTAAGTTGGAAAAGTCGACCGGATGTCGACATATGTGTAAACGGCCTCAAATTTGAATTTCAATGGTTCCGTTAGCCCCATTAGATTATTTTGGACTTAAGAGCAAGTCCAGAATGTGATTTGGAGGTCCGTAGTAGAATTAGGCTTGAATTGGCGAAAGTTAGATTTTTGGCAAATTTGACCGAGAGTGGAAATTTTGATATCGGGGTCGGATTAGATTTCTGGGAATTGGAGTAGGTTTGTAGTGACATTTATGATTGGTGAGCAAAATTTGAGATCAATCAGACGTGGTTTGATAGGTTTCGGCATCATTTGTGGAATTTGGAAGTTAGAAGTTCATTAGGCTTGAATTCGGGTATAATCCGTGTTTTTGATGTTGTTTCGAGTGATTTGAGGGTTCGACTAAGTTCGTATTGATTTATAAGACTTGTTGGTATGGTTGATTTCGGGTGGCTAACAGATCAAAATTTGATGTTGAAGGATAGCTGAAGTGTTATTCCTGCTGGTGTAATCGCACCTGCGAGTGGGGAACCGCAGGTGTAAGCTTGCATAGGCGGAGTGGGCAGCGCTGGTGTGGAGCTTGAGGCGAGGCAGCAGATGGTCGCAGGTGCGATGCTTTTCCCGCTCCTGCGTGACCGCATATGCGGCAGTAGGATCGCAGAAACGGAAGTGGACTGTGGGCTGGGCTTCACAGAAGCAGATATTCCCTCGCAGGAGCGAGCCCGCTGCAGGAGCGAGCCCGCGGGAGCGGGATTTTAGCCCGCATGAGCAGAATTCTTCGCATAAGCGGGTGACTTGTTCGCACTCGCGAAGCCGCAGATATGGGTAAATGGCCGCAAGTGCGGAAGGCCTGGGCAGAACCTATATAAGCGAGGTTTCAAGATTTTTTACCATTTTCACTATTTTGAACTCGGATTTTGGAGGATTTTGAAGTGATTACTGAGATAAAATCCTTGTGTCCATTTGTCTTCAATAATGATGTTTCCCCACTGATTTTTTTACCTAATTGGTGAGTTTTTGAGGTGAAATTTGGGGGTTTAGGTCTAGGGAAATTGTAGAGTGAATTTTGGAGACTTGGATGCCCAAATGGTGTTGGATTTTGATAAATTTGATATGGTTAGACTTGTGAGTGAATGGGCTTTTGGGTTTTGTCGGATTTCGAGACGTGGGCCAGGAGGCCGGTTTGAGCTTATTTCAGATTTTGGCTTATAATTTCATGTTTTTCTTGTGGAATTGATTCCTTTAGCCTATATTAATTATATCGTACTGCTTGTGGCTAGATTCGAAGCATTTGGAGACTGATTCGAGGGGCAAAGGCATTTCGGAGTAGGATATTTGCGCGGTTTGAGGTAAGTAACAGTCTTAAATCTGGTCCTGAGGGTATGAAACCCCGGATTTTGGTACGATGTGATTATTTCGAAGGTGACGCACATGCTAGGTGACAGGTGTGTGGGCGTGCACCATGGGGGATTGTGACTTGGTCCGTCCCGTGAGACGGTAAAGTTGAATAGCTTATTGTCAATTACATGTTCCCTCTGTCATCTAGAAACTTGATAGCCATTCATGTTAGAAACCATGCTTAGGCCATATGATATCACTGTTGGGACACGCAGTGGTCGGATACTTGTTGAATTAGCTGTTATTTGCTGTTTTATACTCAGTCACAGTTTTACTTGCTTGTCATATCTCTGTTTCCTCTTGTTTTCTTGTTGATACTTGTTATCATCATTTTTGGGCTGATTTGTGTGATATCTGACAGCCGAGAGGCTGGAGAGGTTAGTGACTGAGATAGGACCTGAGTGCCGAGCAGCGAGCTATGTGAGGTATATGGATCGGGTTGCACGCCGCAACGAGCCTGAGGGCTGAATGTATATGGATCGGGTTGCACGCCGCAACGAGCCTTATATCTACTTATATGATTGGATCGGGCTACACGCCGCAACGATATAGTGCTTGGGCTGAATGAGACCCTACGGAATCTGTACACCCCCAGTGAGCGCAGGTACCTATTGAGTGTGATTACTGAGTGCTGAGAGCCGAGTGTTTGAGCTACTGAGAGCTTGAGTAATTGTTACCCTGAGAGGTTGCATTTGTTTCCTTTATTGCTGCACTTAGCTGAATTATGTCATTGTTCTAAACGGTTGTAAAATATTGTATCCGATTTATCTGAACTTAGTAACTGTACAACTGACTTAACTTATATTGCCGGAATTGAATCATGTCTACTTTCATTGCTGAAATTACTGAAGTGAACGGTAATTGTATAGCTCGTCACTACTTCTCAGTTCCTTATTTATTTTTGTTACTTACTGAGTTGATTGTACTCACGCTACACCCTGCACTTCATGTGCAGATCCATGTGTATCCGGTCACAGAGGACGTTGATCTCGTGCGTGGTTGAGTATCGGAGATTCACGAGGTAGCTGCCGGCGTTCGAAGTCCTTGTCTCTCCTTTCTTGTTATCTTTTCTTTTCTATATTGGTATTTAAACACAGACCCTTGTAGATACTGTTTCTTAGACTGGTTGTTTAGATGCTCATGACTTGATGACACCCCGATATTTGGGGCTATTTTTCCGTGTTGTATTTTGAGTTTAACTCCTGTTTTTATGAAAACTCTGTCATATCAAGCTTTTGGTTTATTTTATGAAATATTTGAAGTATTTTGAAAAATCGGCTTACCTAGTACCATCGATAGACGCTATCATGACATGTTAGGGTTTTGGGTCGTTAACAATAACACATACTAACAATAAATATAAGCAAGCAAAATTAATCAAACTCAAGGACACAAGATTATTTAAGTGGAAAATCTTTTCAACGTAAAAAGTAAACCATAGACCTTTGGTCCATAAATCTCCAATATACCAACAAGAGAGTTACGAGAATTCTCCAAAATGTCACAATACCAATGCTAAACAAGGAACAACAAGGAGCAACAAAAGCGGCAACAACAACAACAACGAAAAAAGAAAGAAGAAGGGAGATAAATCACTCAAAAATAGAGTTGTTCATGGCTCAAAACCTTCTACTAGAGACCTCCAAACATGATCTCCATCATTTAAATCTAAGACCAAGATTTGGGAACACAAAACTAGAGGAGTGAGACACGACACCCAAATTGTCATTCCCTGAATCAACATTTATTCTATACTTAAACATAGATAATTCATGCATTATGATAGGATAAATATCAAAAGAATTTAGAATTCGACGATGTTCAACACGATAATCTATAAATCCTTAAAAACTTAATACCTACGTTCGTGCGTACAAGACAATGCTCTAAACATAAATACATGACCCATAGTACTCATTGCCTCGTATAGATAATTTGTTTGATGATCTTCAGGGTGCCAAGATTTTCTCTAAGATTAACTTAAGATCTGAATATCATCGGTTGAATATTAGGGCTTCTAATATTCCTAAGATACCTTTCAGGAGACATTATGTGCATTATGAGTTTCTAGTCATGTCCTTTGGGATAACTAATGCACCAACAATCACTACAAGAAAAATGCTAAATAGCGAAGGGAAAATTGGTACCTAAAAGTAAGGAATTGGTCCCTAATGGTCAATAGCGACCAGAAAATCTGGTTCTTATAGCTTCGGCCGCTAAAGGTCTTTAAGGACGAGATGTTGAACTGGTCGTTAAAAGTGTTTCACGACAAGTTTTAAACTGGATGTTAAATGCTTTATAAGGACCATGTTTCTGGTGCCTATTTGCATATTTTAGGGACTAAATTCCCGGTCCTTAAAATGTTTTTGCAACTAGGTTAAAGCTGGTCGTTAAAACGTCTTGCGAACAGTTAAAAGTTGGTCGTTATATCTTTCGCAAGAGGTTTAAAGTTTGTCCTTAAGTCGAACAGGTTTAGCAACCAAATTTTCTACTTCTAAAAAGGATTTAAGGACTAACAGTCTAGTCCGTAAAGAGACAAGTCACACGTCCCTAAATCACATTCAATTTGCAACTAAATAATCTGGTAATTAATATAAAGATGATACTACTTTCATAAAATAATTACCAAAAGTGATCAACAGTTACTTGCACCGCACATCAATAATGTAAGCGAGTCACAGTATTGTGTTCATAAACCCTTAGCAAAAAACTACATATCACTAATAACCCTAGACTGTAATGTAAAATTTTATTGACATTCGCAGCAAAAGATATATGGTCAATCTGTACGTCGTCAAAAATCTGCTTCTTGTAAACCTCACTATCCAAAACCTGTAAAAGAAATAAAAAATTTCAATTAGAAAAATTATAACAGTGTAGACGCAACAAAATCGGGGCTAGACAGAAGATTATAAAAATAACAAAGAAAAAAGAAGCAACAAGAAACAAATGGCTAGACACTATTGTTCCATTACATCACTTGGACAAAGAATTGAGACAAATAGTGCAGTCTGTTATATTCGTGGGCTGGTCAAAGGAAAGATTATTGAGGTGAATGGCATTATTTGAAATATCCATTTTTGGTGATATCCAAATTTACTGAGAGGGGAATGGTGGTTCCAATTTGCAAAACAGAGGTTATAAAAGATGATCATAATCTAAATTGGAAACCAGTTTCAGTGAATATTCAACAAGTTGGAAGTAAGGTAAAAGAACTGTTCTTCCATGTCCTTCCTAGGCAAATTTCTGAGACCATCCCCTAAAATGTAGAACCTTGGAAGGGAGGGACAGGAAAACCTATGAATCAGATTTTTCTATGAGCTAGTGTGCCTCTTTTTGGGATCATGTGCTATTTCATGTGAATCAGATGTCGGTAGCAAGTGTGGAATTGCTAGAATTTTCTGTATGAATTATGAAATTTTTGAAAAAGAAATACTTTTGATGTAGTCTTTAATCATCGTTTCTTTGGATTGCTAACTCAATGGTAGATAACTCGGCTTTTTAAGTGTAGCTAGTTATCATTTACACACCGAGAATAATTTTTATGTATTTTTTCTTTAATTTAACATGGTATTTGTGGCCATGTTTATCCAGTCAATGTCAAGTTAATCAGTAATTACATATAAATTTAGCTTATATACACTAACAACGTAATGAACTTTACATTAGTAATGTATTTTAACCTTTTTATACACACCAAAGGTAAAGCGAAGATAACTAAAAGCACCTCCAGCAACATGGACATCAACAGAGAACTTAGTATAGCAACTATTAGAAAGAAGTACTAATATAGCAGCAATTCTATACGAGTTAAAAATAGAAGGCCAGAAGTTTTACGAGCAACTGAACCAGTAGTAACAAAAACTCTAACACGAAGCATTCCTCCAACTCCAAGAGCTACTAAATCATACCATGTGAGTTTTCTTTTCATGTCAGCACCAGACCTTAGCCTCACTTTGATAAGCTCGGTCTGGTGTCAACACCAGAGAACTCAGTATAGCACCAGAGAAAGTCAGTGCACAATACTAAACCACTAGCGTACATTAAGATATCAGTAATGCGACAAATAACTATGCACAACCAGCAAATTCGTAATCGACAGAAGATGTAAATTCCACAAATGATATATAACAACATGCACTTAAATCAACAAAATAAATTGATGTTTCGGCTAAGATGTTACTCACTTGGTATCATCAAGAATCGGAATAGTCATTCTCCTGAACTAGATGCTGGAAATTAGTCTGTTGCGCTAATATGAGAAATTAAAACACATAAGACACTTTAAAGTTAAATCACTAATTTTCTGTCGTATTTTTCTTAAATAAACAAAATGATACAATAGCTATCATTCTATTGTTCAAAAACTGTAATGATTGTTATCTTATGAGACACTAGCTATATTTATCACTTTTGTTTAATAAAGAACTAGCTTCATTTGATCAAGAACTAGCTATATTTGTCACTTTACACTAGCTATATTTTCTACCTTCTATATCTTAATTTCCAGCTTCATACCCCACTAGGATTACTGCACCTATAGTTAGTTGCTTTGTCACTTCAGTTTTCATTGTGAAGAAGAAAAAGAAGAAGCAAAAAAAAAAACCAAACAAATGAAGAAATTTATATGCCCTTGTAGTGGATACAAACTGAATTTGAAATTGAAATACAAAAATAACATTTTCATCTGGGGTAAACTATATATATTAAAGTGTTAAAGGTCTCATATTCAATCTCAAGATTTTATTTCAAAATAAGAAACATCTTTAGAAAAAATACAAGAAATCCTTATCCATATTGAGGGTGCACCCTCGTAATGTTCAGTGGTACGAGAAACTAGGCAAGATGGTATTTGTTCCAATAGGTACAAAATTCCTTCCGGCAGGGGATGTTTTTGCCTTACCAGCTTCAAGATAAAAGTAATAAAAGAACTCTACGTCTTGATCATGCTTCTTGATCTCTTGTCTTAGTCTGTCAACCATATCAGAGATTTGACACCTTGCCATACACCAAAAGTACGCACTTCTTTCTATTATCTTTTCAACAGTAGTTTTTATTTAAAATATCCCCTTGTTTTAGGTGTCCCTTACACAACAGTAGCTAGGTTGATATGTAAAGTAGGGAGAATATCTCATACCAACACCCAAATCTATATTGTTGATCAACTTTGAGGGACTATCACTTCTGATTCTATAGAATATTTTATACTTAGATTTCCTGAACCTAATTAATTGGCTATACTAATGAATGTTTTATAACTATTAACAAAACTAATTAATTGGCTATACTAATCTGCTCCATCAAAAATATTCTTCTTCAATCAAAACAAAACTTACATTATAACTAGAATCAAAATAGAGCCTATATTATAATGCTCAAAACATTGACCTTATTTTGGAGGGAGTAGTTCGCGACAGAGTAAATGCAAGCATTGACAGCGAAAAGCTTCGACGAGCGAGTCCATCACTCCAACTAGAGTGCTATTGACTAAATAGATTCAATGGCAAAACTCAATGGAATGTTTTCATCAGAAAATTTATTTGACAAAGCTAATTTACATCACTGTTTCTTCTTCATCTAATTATTTTTTAAAATATTAGATTAGACTTACCAAAGGTAATAAGTTGGCTATACAATTTAAAGAACCTATAAAAAATCAGAGTAACGAAACTGAAATAGAGCACCTAATGGTAAAAAAAAATCCAACCAATTCATCACCTCATATGAAAAATCACTAGACATCCTACAAAATTTTCGTGACCCTTCAAGAAAGTCCCCAGAGGAGTTGTATAATGCAAATCGCAAAGGAGAAAACCATCGCATAGATGAAACTCTACAAGCTTCTCATATAAAGGCCAACTCATTCTAAATATCTAATCTAAGTCTAAAACTGCTGCTTTTCAAAATTTCCCTAAAGAAAAGAGGGGTGCATATATTAAAACTGTGCAACTGCCTTTCTCTGATTCCATGTATAAAAGAAAAAGGTTACCTCCTGAATCATGTCCTACCAGTAAGTTCCCCACCTAGCTTCATTCTCTTTGGAGCAGGAGCTTCCAACATTCACCCAAACCTCCATTATTTGGACATATCGTGCAGGAAGGGACAAGTGGTGCCATTTAGGCATCCCTTGGTGTGTTGAAGAAAACGCAATGCTTCTCAAAATTCAGGCTGCCCTGATTTGGTTTTAGGTTCTTTAACGATTTTGGTCAAAATTTCTCATCCTTGACCTATGTGCCCCAACTTTAAACCCAATACTCTCACTTTTATCACTCACACAATAACTATCAGTACTCAAAACAACCCAATTACAGAAAAAAACTAAAAAAATGGAAAAATTGCATAACCCGATTCCGATTTCTGGTTCAAAGGAAAAAAAAGCGCGAAGAAGAAAAAGATAAAAGAGAAAGAAATTAAATTTACTCTTGATTTGCGGACAATCCAATGGTAGAGTTTGTGTAGAGTCGCTTGGAGAGAGATGAAAACCTTCTGAGTTTTGAATGATGAAGTTGCAACCTTCTGAATTCTGATGAAGTTTATTAGTCGCCGCTTAGGAATTTTAACGTGAAAGGAATTTTTGGAGGGATTTTAGGGTGAAAGTGAATTTTTGGAGGGATTTTACCGTGAAAGTAAATTTTTGGAGCATTCATTTTTTTTTTGGAGCGCAATTCCAGCGCTCCTATACCGCTGGAATTGCGTATTAGAGATAAGATATTGACTTTTTTAAAGACCTAAATTCATCTTGCTATGTATTTAGAAAATAAAATTGCATATTAGGGACCAAAAAAAATTCTCATCCCTATAAATATAATTTTATGGACCATATTTTAAACCTGTCGCTAAATGCTAGTCTCTAATAAGGCTTTTTCTTGTAGTTAATATTCATGGATTTGATGAGTCGTGTGTTCAAGCCTTATATAGACTCATTCATCATTTCGTTCATAGATGATATCTTGATCTGTTCGCGGAGTAGGGAGGAACGTGAGCATCATTTGAGGATTGAGCTTTAGGTTCTGAGAAAATGCAAGCTTTATACCAAATTCTCCAAGTGTGAGTTTTTGCTTGAGTTGCATTTTTATATCACACAGTTTCTTTTGAAGGTATCAATGTTGATACAAAGAATATTGAGATGGTTCAAAATTGGTGTAGACCTACTACACCTACTTAGATTCAGAGTTATTTTAGGTTTGGCAGGTTACTACCACTATTTTGTGGAGGAAGTTTTATCCATTGCAGCTCCATCAACGATGTTGACTCAGAAACATGTTCCTTTTATATGGTCTAATAAGTGTGAGGAGAGCTATCAGAAAGTCAAGACTGCATTGACTACTGCTCTAGTATTGGTGTTACCTACGGGTTCCTAGTGCTACACGGTGTATTATGATGCTTTGTATATTGGGCTTGGGAGTGTATTGATGCAGAATAGCAGGGTGATTACCTATGCATCACAACAGTTTAAAACTCAATAAGAAGAATAGTCCTACCTATGACTTGGAGTTGGAGGTTATTGTGTTTGCATTGAATATTCGAAGGCATTACATGTATCGTGTGTCTTATTAGATTTATGCTGATCAACTTAGTCTACAATATCTATTGAAGCAAAAAGACCCTAATTTGATACAATAGAGATGGCTTGAGTTGCATACGGATTATGATATTACTATTTTGTATTATTCAAGAAAGGCTAACATGGTAGAAGATGCTTTGATCAAGAAGGTGGAGAGTATGAGTAGTTTGGCATATATGCTAACCGACGAGCGTTCTTTGACAATGGATGTGGAGGCTTTGACTAATAGATTTATAATATTAGATATTTCTAAGTCTAGCAGGGTTCTTGCTTGTGGTATTTTCCAGTTGTCGTTGCGTGAATAGATTAAAGCTCACTTTTATGATAATCTTTATTTGCTTGTGCTTAAAGACATGATGCATCGTGGTGGGGACAAGAAGGTTTCTATTAGAGATGATGATATTATGCGACTACAGAGCCAAATTTGTGTGCCTAATATTGATAATTTGAGGAAGTTGATCCTGGGGAGGGGGGG